CCATTAGTACAGAACTATAATTGAGTTTCTAATCAGTGATTAAAGTATTATAGGAAATATAGTCTATCTTTTTTTTAAGAAAAAAAAGCTTACAAATTTCTTTAAAAATAGAAAGAGCTGCACATAAAAGCCAGACATGAATATTTCTCAGATGCAAAGAGAAAAAAAATGCCATTATATTCCAAATTAAAAAATTTGCTTTAGCTTTTAATTCTTTTAGTGTTTATAGTTCTGAATAGTCCTGTGAAAAACATGAGTCTGGGTAAGTTTTCTGAAGTAAAAATAGTAATAGAATATGAACTAAAAGACATACTTGTAAGCTATGTGATCTTGGGGAAATCACTTACCTTCTTCAATTTCTCCAGATGCAAGTGAAATATCAATATTTTCTCTGCTTCCCAATAGTATTGTTCTGAGCATCAAACAGGATGTGTGTGTATTTACTCTGTAACTGCAAAGTTTTAGCAATGCTCAGACCATTAGTTAACTTAAAATGGAATCTCTAATGAGAAGAAGTCTTTATGAAAAGTGATGTAATTAATGACAGGTAAATCACCCTGTCTTAGAAACCAAATCCCACACTTTAAATTGTTAGATTTTCTTCAACTGTCTTTTTTTTAACCATTAATCTGTAGAGCTAAAACTCCCCATTTATACAAGAGATCGCTACTTTTCGTGGTTCTAAACTGGAACTGAAGATCACTTCTGAGTGAGTCAGCTTCCAAGTTCACAGGAAGGAAGCAGTTTCTAAACTAACGTTCCTGTTGTTCCTAGAAAAATAGTCACAACAGAGTGAAAACAGTTACTCTCTGTATTATTCAGAGAATAAATTATATACTCCAAAGTATAATTAGCACTTGTATCTGTAACAGATAGCTACACTTTCTGGTTATGTATCTATCAAATTTTCATTTTAATAGTGATGACTCATAATGAAATTATGCATTCATCATTCCATTCATTAAACTGTTTAACTTGCAGGCTGTGCATGTAAACTACAAATTCTTTGCATATGTGATCACATCACTCTCACACAGGCTCTAATTCTCATCCTAATATTTGTTAACATATACAAATTCATTCAAGAATGAGTTTTTGGTTTTTGTTTTTTTTAACGTGCATTCAGACAGCAGATGCTGTTGAAAATGTCATCAAGTTGCAGATGCACAGGGTACTCTGGCTGAATGTGTTTGGCAATATAGTTCTGAAAAATCACTTCAGTTCCTGCCTTCTGCTGCCCCAAACTTAATTCTCCAGGGAGCCATCTCAAAAAGCAATGCTAAGAATTACTAAATTCAATCCTCAGATCAGCTATTTCGAAATATGGGAACACATTTTTAACAAATGTAGCATAGGTTTCTTTCTTGTTGAAGAAAGTATAAGCTCCAAAGACACGTTATTATCTGAAACTTCATTATAGGAGGGAACAACTACTGGAATGTGATTCAGAAAACAAAACAGAACAAGAAACAGTATATGATTCAATGGGAGAAATTCTTGTCTCTTCCACTTCCTCCTCATTCCTAGTCATGCTTCCATTCTACTCTCTGTTTCCCTCTTCCTCTTTTCCTCCTTGCGAATCCTGTCTCCCTCTTCCTGCTCAGCAGTAGCAAGCATTTATCTTGGCATTTCTGTTAACAAAGACCTTAATTCTGCCGTTAAGTCCTACCTGTCTTATTACCTTTGCAATCTTTTCTCTCTTTTTTTGCTAATAAAAGACCACTGAAATATCTGAATAAAGAATGGAATGACAAGGAAAAACTAGAGAAATCCATAGTTGAGATTTCAGCAAACCATTTACAATATCTGAAAGAACACTGCACATAACATTTCTCCCAGTGCACACTGAACAGTAGAGTAAATCCATATTATGGGACATAAAATGAACCTTAATAACTGTAAATGAATAGAACCATGTAGAGAATGTTTTGTCTGTAAAGAAACCAAAATATCTCTTCTATTGGCTTTCTTTTTCCATTCCCTCCACCAACCACCCATTCCCACACCCCTTCTGTCTCCCTCCACATTCAGCCACCCTTTCCAATTTGAAAACCATTCCGATCAGCCCATTTTTCATGAAAGACTCAACAGGCTAACAGAACCAAGTGTCAAAAGCAGGTCTTCTTATTTCAATGCCTGTCCCCTTCCCAAACCATAATACCTCAGGAAAGCCTTCTTTCCTCCCACACAGACTTCTCCCTTCACTTTTCCTTACTTGTTTCCTGTTCTCGCACTGTTGCTTGAATAAACCATTCTCCAATGCATCTCCACTCCTATCTGAACACTTTCTAGTAACTGTCTTCATCCTCAGAGGTCAAGTGACCTCTGTCCCAGGAGGGATAGAGCTCCCTAGGCATCACTATTTTTGACCCAGTACCACCCTCTAACTTCATCCCAGGATGAAAATTATTATCCGTTGAACTCTTGTATTACTAACAACTGAAGGTATGAGAGAATGATCCAAAGGCCAAAGGGGGGGGGGGGGGCTCTGAAAGATGACAACCAGAAGCTAAGAAAAAGACAAAGCTCCAAAGAACATCAGTGCTAGCAGGATTACCAAGGGTCTCTCTCTCCTCTCTCCTCCCATCTCCCTCCCTCTCTTTCCTCCCTCCTTTCTCTCCTTCAAATTATATATAGTGCTGCCAACGATGTTTAAGCGGCCATTTTATTACCTTCTTCTAGATCTCTCTTACCATCTTTAAAAGAGAACATCATGAATTATTCCCCCTGGTCCTCCCTGGTGGTGCAGCTGGTTGGAGCACTGCACTACAAAGCTAAGCCAAGCCTCGGCCACTTCAGTGTGAGTTCGATATCTGCCCCAGAGGTGACCCATACTGCACAGCAGAATGTTCCTGTCTCACCCGCTGCTCCCCTCGGTAGTATACTTTTTCCATCTGCCTGTTCTGCTCCCCACTCTGTCTCTGGTGAATCCTCTCCCCACCCCTGCACCTCTAGCCTGTACCCCATTTATGTATGCATAAATAAAATCTTTTAAAAAATAATTTCTCCTGAAAAAAATCTTTCTTCCCTACAAAATTTTGTGTTATAAATATAGAATTTTGATAAAAGCCTGAGTTACCTCCCAACTACTTCATTTTAGAATTTTGATGCACTTATATCAGTGGTTACCCTAGTTACAAACTGTGAAACTGAGATACTGAAAACAGTACTTTCGTATTCCCCAGATTCCTTACAACTGTGAAAATTTAATTACTCTGGTAGGAAATAGTTTCTCTTGAATGATCATAAAGCTAGTGAGAGGTTTTAGACACACTTTCCACAATTTTTTTTTTCCATTTGAAGAAGTGAAAGTTTTGAAAAAGTCCTTCTTTATTCCACCAACATAATGGGAACAAAATTATTTATTTGCAATTCAAATTATAGTATTTTCTGGCTTTGGTTTGCCCTGGAGGAATCACTATAGGAATATTCATTCAGAATGAAACAACACTACAGTTTGTAATGTAAAGGAATCTTCTATCCCCTCTAAATCACACTTTATTATTGAGAAGATATTACAACCAAATAGCAACAAAATTTCACATATAAGCAAGACAAATTCAAACTAACAATGAGGAATTTTAAAAAAGAATGAGAGGGCCCTCCCTGGAGGCACATCGGGTTAAAGCACAGCACTAAGAAGCTAAAGCCACTTCCGCATGAGTTCGGTTCCCGCCTGCCCCGGAGCTGACCACATGGTGTGGCAGACCTCTCTTGACCTGCCCGCTGCTCCCCTCAACAGTGTACTTCGTGGATCTGCCTGTTCTGCTCCCCTCTCTGTCTCTGGTGAATCCTCTCCCCCTCTGCATCTCTGGCTTGTACCCCAGTTCTGTATGCATAAATAAATAAATCTTTAAAAAAAAAAAAGAGTGAGAAAGGGTGAGGGGTAGGAGGTCTTTCTCTTATCAAACATCTGAGTATTTCAGAGAATAAGTTCTTGCATATAATGAAATCATGGTTGCTACAGCCATAATAATATATCTAGACAACAAACCCACCAGTAATTAAACAGTGGTGAGTTGTAATCACTTCCATTGACATTTTGTTTTGTAGTAGTTTTGTTTGCTAATCACCCCTCCTTTCAATTCTGTAGACCAGCACAAAAGTGCTGGTGAATCCTCTCACCACCCCTGCACCTCTGGCCTGTACCCCATTTCTGTATACATACATACATAAAATATTTTATAAATACATAAAATATTTTATTTAAATATCTTCCATCGTCTTTCCCTGAGCCCCTTCCCTGGCGCTGACCACTCAGTTTCCATAGTAACCACTATTTAACTGCTGCTCCAGGGGTATCAAGGAGAAGAGAAAGAACAGCAGAAGAAAAAGACTAACTCTGGGTTTTTGCACATAATAGATTCTCTGTTGCTGTGAGTTACCAAGAACTTTTTTCTGCTTCCCTATTTGGAAAAGTGCTTAGAACTTTTCAGAGTAGCATTTTCAGACTCATCTTTGACCAATGTAAGAAATCCCTCTTCTGTCTTCCATCATCATGACTGTCCTTAGTGGATGGAGCCAGTTGTACATGCCCCTCCCTTCCACCTGCCATTCATTCTTTCCAGTTAACAGTAGCGAGGGGGCAGGAACTGCTTCAAACTGGGACACAGAGCTCTGTGAATCCTCATGACATCATGTATGTGCTTATGACTGCATTCAGCCTGGGTGATACATAGTGTGAGATTTTGTAAACATTTTTACCCTGAATCTTACCTCAGTGATGAAAACAACATTTTCTATAGGATTGATTCTCCTACCTAATTCTAAAGAATGCTATTTTATAACTGGAAAGAGCAGGAGTCCCTTGCTGAGAGTGAGAGAAGAGGGAATCCTGCGATGTTTATTCTCAACTTCACTTTCCATGTGAAAAAGACCTCTCTGCAAATGATTTTCTTTCTCCTGTGGCTAAAGAGGATTTGGAAACCGGATCTATAGGCAGGGTGGTGTCAGTCCCTCTCCTAAGGAAGTCTGAGTTCTCTTTTCCTTTTTGAAAATGAGAATTCGAAAGCAGTGGGGAAGTGATGTTGGACCTATCACAGCATTGCTAACAGACAGCCTATTACAGTATTTAATAAAAACAGAAACAGCATGCCTATCATAGGCTAATAAATCCTACCTCCTGCACGCTTTAAAAACAGTATGAAGCAGCTTTAACGGAGCTTCAGCTAACTAATTTCAAGCATGGCTGTCTAGCGTTCCTGTCACTCCTATTGTCCTTCCAAACTCTTTCAGACATTTTGAGCTGGGAGTATTAAAGCTATGAGTTAGCAAGGGTTTGTGACATTAATGGTCCAGAAAGGCTTTAGGCGCGAGAGGTAAGGATGATTACCGGTGGCTATTTGGAGGACTGCACTGGATCGCTGTCATTAAAAATTAAGCGTGGCTTTTGAGGAAGATGTGACAACTACCGGAGGTAGGATTTGCATGTAAAACAAAGGAATCTGTTGCTGTGCCGTGCTTTTTGTTTGCTCTGTGCCTTGTGGGTTGTGAATTGCAGCCAGGTGCGGAGTGAGAAACAGGAATGGGAGAGGGGAGTGGGAAATGGGATCTGCTTAGAGCAAAACTACATAACAGATAGTATTATGTTTTATGGCAGAAATGCCTCGAGGACAAACTGGCTCCGGGTTCGTAGGCTGCTGAGTGTGCATTCCACGTTGCTTTTCTGTGGAGTAGAATGCTTAGAGGTCATGGAGAAAACAGTTTGCTTATATTCTGTGGTGTCAGCGAGGCTATTGGTAGGGTTGAGTGAAGACTTTGGTGGGTGGGAGGCGTGAAGGTCCAAGAAAAATAAAGAAGAAAAAGCTCTACTTAAGACTTGAAACCTGTTAGATAAATATGTTATTCCCATGGTCAATGTACTCTGATAGCCAGAGTCCGTTTTTAAAGGGGGAAGTTGGAAGATTACAGTGGATTCCCCTAATAAATAACTCTTTGAATTTAATCTACCATAAAAGAAAATTGGAGGTACCTTCTTCCATTTTGCATATTGAAAAGCTGATCCACACTGTCTGTATAAGTGATTTTGCTAAAGCAAAGCCAGAGTTTTAGACTAAAAGAAGGGGCTTTTTCTCTGTCCCTGCTCTTGCTTTGAAACAACTGCTGGGGCTGCAGATGGAAATGGTGATTTGTTAGGGACTATGGATTTGACATTTTACCTGGTTCTTTTTCTTTCTTTCTTTCTTTTCTAATGAACAGAATAAAAGCATAATTCCCCCTGAAAGATGAGAGAGACTGTTGGGTTCCAAAGTCCAGTGGATAATGAGTGGATTTGCAGAGAAACTTACACTGCTTTGTACTTTATTGTGGAATCCATATAGCTCAATCAGAATGGGAAATGTCAGGAAATCACAGGCTGAGATTTTTAAAGCAAAAATGCAGTGATTAGAAACCAATATTTTTTCAATTTATTCTGTGGTGCAAATTCCAATATTTGTCATTGCATGTGACCCTCAATGTGAAGTGAAAGAACATAGTTAGAGAAATTCTCTGTGCTGCTGTGTTATTCCTGTAATGGACTTCACAAACCCCAAGATGTAAAGATATTGCTTTAGATTTTGAAAAACCGATCGTTTGACACCTTGATTGGTTATAATGAATGGCAAAGATACACAGTCATGATCTATTTATAAAAGAATGTTATTACATCTCTAACTGCATCTAAAACATCCATATTCATATAGTATTAACTGGAAATAAAAGTGAAAGGCAATTAGAGCGTGTTTGCTTTCAGCGGAACACCAGAATTAAGGCTACATAGGGCTTTTCCTCTTCTCTGATGATACTAAGTTTGTACTTTTATTAGCTCCTCTGTATACCCTGCCACTTTCACAGTTGAAATCATTGCCTTGTGGTGAATGGCATCTCTGCTTAAAGTTTACCTCTACCCTCCTAATGGGGTAATGAATATTTCCGAACCTGCCAAACTCCATGGATAGTCTTTGTGTGGCCAAGAACACATGTCCATAAGTCGATTATAGCACTCTAGTGCAATTGATTGCTATGACAGTTTTCTGACTCTATATGTCCAGTGAAGTGTGTGACCTTGACCTTGTGAAGACCTGTTCTCTAACCAATTGCACCTATTAGTGGAGAATTTATTATAGGAAGAAGCAGCTCACAGTTCACACAAATACTTTTCTTGCTGCTGTCAGAAGTTTACAACTGATTACTGATTATATTATTTTCATTCATTTGAAAAGAACTTTCACTGTCTCCTGTCTCACCTCTATCTTCTCATTCTAATTGTACCAACCATTTATTTTAGAAACCATCCCTTACTATAAAAAGTATTGACAGACAAAATTATCTTGCTGCGGTGATTTTCACACTTTATTGATAAACCAAAATGTCTTAACATTTTCAGATTATTGAAAACAACTTCCTATATTAAATCTTGAAGGTATGTTTTCCTAGACTGGAACCCCGTAGTATTAAAACATACCAGGCAGGTATGGGTAAGTTTTTCTCTGTAAGTTATAGGGAAAGTCAATCCAAATTATTTAGTCAAAATAACCTACTCTCTCACAAATTAATTTCATAACTTGTTTATGTTGATTGACATCAAGCAAAATCATTTCTACTTATCTTCCTTTTTCTGCTACATTTAATAATGAAAAACAATTCTCCAGCTATAGAAAAAGCAAGTCTAGAATCCACTCTGACATAAAGCAAATATTAGTCTTTGCTTTTCAATCCTTACGGGTAGCACAGCCATCATATCAGCCATCAGGACACAAGTCACCAAGTCCAGAGTTGCCCTTGTTCTCTGACTCTCTCATACATGTGCACACACACACATACACATACACACACCTGCTCACTTTATTGATAGATACTGTATCAGATATTTCTCAAACCAATACAATCTTTTCTTTGATTATCTCTCTCCTCTCATCAAAATATGATAAAAACTGCATCTTCCAAAAATATTACTGCTGTTAAATCAAATTAAAAAATCAGACTATGGCAATGTGTGTAAAAAATAATCCTAATTAAAATATATGTGTATAGGGAAAAAACTAGAAATTTCTAAGTACAACAAGATGTTAGCAGTTACTATCTTAGAGCAGGAACACTGGCACTCTGCACCCATTTATTTCATTTGTTACATTTTTTTTTCATTTGCTGACATTTTTCAAAGATCCTATATTATGCATTAATAGTCACAAGAAGATTGACATCTTAAATGTTGATTTATATCTCAATTTCCAGCTATGTTGCCAGTTTTTTCCATGATCACAGCTCATGTTACCCACCATATATTTACCCTAAAGTCAATGGTCATTGTTTAGTCCAGGCAGGACTGAGCAGCGCTGCCATTTCTCTGTCACAGCTGCTTCTCCTTGGGCTCCTTGGCAAAATGAAAAGTTCAGAATCATCACTTCTTTGATACTCGCTCCTACCTCTTAACTCAGGTTTCTTTAAAAGGAGATTGTGTATATGTGTTGTGTGTGTGTGTGTGTGTGTGTGTGTGTAAAAATCTCCTTATATTATAGATAGATTTTTCAGTCTCTTTTGCTGACTCCTCATTAGATCAGAACATATTAAACATCAGAGTATAGCATGACTCAACTATAAATCTCTTCTTTATATAAACTTACTTCCCAATTGTGTCCAATTTAGTCTCAGAACCTTAAGAACCATTTTCACACAGACAGATTCTAACCCCTAACCTAATGTTCCCCCCAAAACTCCCTATTTACATCTCTATCTACCCACATCATATTTTCAGATAAATGTGTTATAGGCTCGTCATGCTTAGTATATGCAACATCAAATTTCTAATTTCTACCCAAAAATATTCTCCTGTTTCTCCCATATATGTTGACGGAATCTTCACTCTTATGCTTCAGCAGAGGGAAGATCTTAGACTATTCTTTAAATCCTCTCTTCCCTTCACACATCAGAGAAAATCCAATTGCCTCTACTATCAAACCACACTGAGCAAAAACACTTATTGTTCCCTTTACTACCACACTGAGCAAGCAACCATACACTCTATTCTCACCATTGTTCTGCTTCCCCCTTCTCCCATGCACATATTTTATTCTGAACCCAAGACCAATGATCCTTTCAAAACTGCAGTTAAAGTTGTATCTTCTGCTCCGAACTCTCCAACATCTTCCTGTCTAACTGCACTAAAAGCCAAGTCCTTGGTGTGGTTACAGGCCAGATATGATGACCCCTGGGTTCCACCCTGACCTCTCCTGTGGGCACTCTCCTTTTGTATTCCTCAGCCACATTGATCTGCTGGTTGTTCCTCCAACCTGCCATACATATCAAACCCCTGGGCCTCTGCTTTGCTGTGCCTGCTACCTAGACATTTCTTCATAAGACTCCATTTCTCAGTTTCTTCAGATCTCTGTCAAATGTCACTTTATCAGAAAAGACTTCTCTGAAAATCATCTTTCCAATCACACCCTTTGCACATGTTCTAATCCCAGTTATGTTTTATTTTATTCCACAGCCTATCAAATATCCCCTAACATAATATAGGTTGAGTTTTTATGGTTTATCTCTGTCCCTTAAAATGTAAACTCTATGAAAGCATCTATCTATCTATCTATCTATCTATCTATATAAAGAGTTGAGGTGTTTGAGCATCTGCTCAGCACCAGAAGCAGAGTTATTATTGTCTATCTCTGGCCCTTAAAATGTAAACTCTATGAAAGCAGGGACTTCAGCATCAAAATATATATATAAGAGTTGAGGTGTTTATGCATCTGCCCAGCACTAGAAGCAGAATTTCCCAAAATAATACCTGAAGTATACATAGCATCAAGTGACAAATAAATGAATAAACTCCTGAATGTAGGAACTGAATGTTTTTTCCCATTAAAACAGGCATGTGTTTTTCAACCTCAGGGTCAAAGCTCTGTATCATAATGCCCTGTTGCTCTTTTCAAAGAGAAATATACAAAACACTTTCAAAAAAGTCAACGGAATTTGTCAAGATGATATTCATTTTCTTCCCTACACTAGAGGGGAAAAATTCACATCACTGATTCCAATCTATGTCAAATTAAATAAAAATTCAATTTGCTTGAATTTGAGCTTATCCAAAAGATGAGTTCTATTCCAAAAAGACATCTTCTCAGATCTATACAAATGACTGTGGACATAGACATGCCCTATATTTTGTCTGCTCTTCCTGGGGATGATAAAGCAGAGGGATGATAAAGCCAAACCGAAAATCAACATAATCAGTTTCAGTGGTCAGCAATGACCACTCACAGGTATATAACTTCAAATAATTAAATAATTCAAATAATTCAGCTCTACCACTCACAGGTATATAACTTCAAATAATTATGGATAATCAAATAATCATATTGTCAAAACTGGGTATATTGCCAATGACCAATATTTCTAGAATGTTCTACAATCTAGAGAATTAATGTGATATCAGATACT